AAGGATGTGGGGGATGAAAATGAGCGCAGCTGCATGCTCTCCCTGTTTATTCGGAAACATACGGAATGTGCGTAAAGTGCTGCACGCAAACTTCTCAGCGCAACGCGCGCGCCGTCGCTTTCCCTGCGCTCCAACCCTGCAAGGATTTAAAAATAATAATAATAATAATTACCATAATAACAACAATAACAACAACAACAATAATAATAATAGCAACAACGAGGCGCATCGATGCTCTAATCCGACCTCATTCCCTAAATGTCACATCTCTCTCCCTCAAACAGCTTCCAGTCTGAGCCCCCCCTTCTCTCTCTCTCACTCTCTCTCTCTCTTCTTTTTTTTTTCCTGCGTAAAGACTGTGTTCATCTTTAACCTGCCAGCGCTGTAGCCCCCCTGCGTTGCGTTGGCGCTGCGGATCTAGCCCTACAAGAACAAGAGCCAGCTCACAGCCGTGGAAACAAGCGAATCAATTTAGGGGAAGAGAGACAAGGAGAGGCAAGATAGCGAGGTTGAGGAGGTGGGGGTGGGGAGAAGAGCCGATCGCAGAAAAAAAAAAGGGGGGGGAGAGAGACATTTACACCCGCCGAACATCAAGGTATGTACCGTCTTTAAGCTTTATTTGCACGGGTAAAGGGGCAGAAAAAACGGTGGGGTTAATTATGGGGGGTGAAATGCTGAAAGATGAAAACATATTCAAACCGATGGGTCTTTGCAAAAGAAGAAAAAAAAAGACAGAAAAAAAAGATGCACAATTGTAAGKGAATAATTAATCCAGAAAGATTCGCTCTCTACACGGATCCTTGTGTAAGCTGCTTTGTTTCATTAGATTTYGGAGTTTCCACTGATTGAATTGTTTTAATGTGCAGTCGTGTTATTATACCCCCGAAGAGGAGAATGGATGCAAGCCATTTTGTAATGCAGCATGTGCAGAATTGGGGCCTATTCAGAATTTCAATTGCGTTCCCTGAGAAGGTGCGCCGTAGCGAGCGCATGCAGCTGCATAGATGAATAAGRCCATTCTGTTCTATTGTAAGAGATATCATGCTGGAGGTTGGATGATGAGGCCAGATTGCAGATTAGAGATTGAGACTGCGGGAGGACATGGTCATGGCTGCTGCTGCTCTTGTGTGGGATTTTTTTTTTTTAATCTTTGATGTAATTATTCAAAAACGAAGCACATATATATTTGTTATCGGCTGTTATGTTTGTCACAGATTAGTAATTCTCTCCCCCTTCCTCCCCAAACAGCTCTGATTGTTGCCATAGGATACTAAAAGCCCCCCATCTCACCTCGATTCCCACGTCCTGAATCAATCTAGTGTTGTCATAGTTACAGTAGATGATGTTAGCCCTGCTGCACCTGTGCAGCTTTGTGTTCCTCCACATCATTTGTAAATACGTGATGTGTAACTGGATATGCTGAAAACATCCCCAAAAGGCTTTCTAAAAAAAATGACTTTCAATAAATTCCACAAACCTTTGAAAACACAACCAGGTGCTTCTACAACGATTTGATTGGRGGGTTTTAGAGCAATTGGTCAGCATCTTGCAGCTAATTTGTCTTTTCAYGACCGAGTGGTCTCTCAGGCCCCCCCCGTGGAGTAATCAATATCTACATGGTTTCAATCTGCTCTTGACGTAAAAATAAATAAAATCAAGAAAGAGAAACGTGTTTGGGTGAAGTTGGAGAGAAAAATACAATTTTAAACACGTCACAAACCGAGGATGAAGGCCACTGGTGACAAAACCTGTCTGCTCAGATGAATCACGCTGTGATGTACGTCAAATGCTTAAAAACATTATGGTTAAGGCTGCAACATCTCAAGCTCTGATTCGGTAGGAGTCAAAAAATTTGTCTGTTTATAAAATATTTACATTTATCTTGAGTAAAATGTACCTCAGTTATCTGGAGGTAAAGAAAATTGCACAATGAAGTGCAGTTTTGCAACTGTTGATACAAAATGTCCTCATTTGTTACAAAAATAACTTCTCAGGTTTTGACTGGATTTTGAGTTTATATGTTCAAATATATGTTAAAGTATGTTAAATATATTCAAGTTCAAAACACAGAAAGTAGCATAGAAATAAAGAAAAATCGAATGTATCGCAAATCCTTTGTACCAAAAGAGTATTTAATGGTCTGATAGGAAATAAGCTTAAAACCTACATTTTGGTATAATTATTTGACTGAATATTAGTGATGTTTTGATGCACGTTGATCTACTTTTATAAAGATTAGAAGAATGAATTGGATTCTAGGATGTTTGAATAGTTTTCCTAAAGTCAGTCATTTTATTCAAATACCTGTTGACTGAGAGGAACAAGAAGCAAAATAARTGTTTTAATAAGATAAGCGAGTCAAATGTAATTTTATCACTTGTATCTTCAGGTTCACATGTGCTCTCCTGTCTGAGGACSATGTGTTTATTTAACCGTGCCAGTTCTGTACTCTTTCAGGTTCAGGTTTGTTTTTATRTGTTATGAAGTCTGATTTTGCTTTGATCATTAACAACGGAACAGGGGGAACAAAAACGAATAAACCTTACGTTTCTAATCGAATATACAAAGATTTAGACCACATCGCTGCTGCTGGTCTGTTTTGAACAGCTAATCTTCATCAAGCTCAGCTAAACGTGGTAACGTCGAATAGGGCACTGGACAGTAAAAACACAAGATGGTGAGTGAGCAGGTTGCCACAGCAACCCTGTTCCTAGGAGTGAACACATCGTCGCTGCACAGGAAAGCAGATGCTGAAGGCTTCCATGGAGGCTGACATACTGTATGCATATTTTTTTTATAGAGAAAATAACCAGTTTACAATGAAATCTAAGGGTTTATTTGAAGTGGGATGCTTCCAGCAGTAACAGAGCTTTGGTAAAGACAAAGATTTGATTTATTCTCAGGCTTGTGACCACTAAAGTCACGGTGTCGAGCAGAAGGTGTTCAATCGTACAATGAGCTCCTTTTCTTTTTCCAGTCATTAAAACACAAACAGCCTAGAAATGACTAAATATAGAGAATCTGCTGATGCTTGCAGCCGTTTCTGTTTAAAAATGGACTTGTCACTCTTCTAATCATAGAAGGTGATAAACAAAATAAACCTTTGTGTCATTCTTTGAGAAAAAAAAACAACAGAAAAACATTTTCCCACTTTTTTCCACAATCGCTTTATCATTTTTGCTCATGAATTGTATTTGTTGAGTAAAGTGTCATAATTACAGTGTGCACTGCAGCAGATTGTTAGGTGTCAGAAATCACTCCTTCATACCTTAACTGCTAAATTATGACATGTAGGCATCAGGTGTTTTTTTTCTTTTCTTTTAATTATAATGTCCTATTGCCTCACTGAGGATTGCGCGAACCCTTATAACAATCTTAGGCCTCGATGAGACAGTAGTTGTCAAATATTTGAGCAATTTGCACCATATGAAGCACAATAAAAGGTGATGAGCATTTCAAGTTGTGGCCATTTCGGACCATGACCCTGTCAGTTACACATTCTGAAAGGGAACTCTTGGGAAACAAAAGCCCAACCTGCTTTTTTTGTTTTGTTTTGTTTTGTTTTAGGGCACACTATTATTTAGATTTTTAAACATTTATGCCACTGAATAATAACTACGGCTTTTTGTTCTCACTTGATTTTCTCTCTCTCTTTTCTCTCTCTCTCCTCTTACAGAAAGAAGCAACAGCCTCCTAAGTGACAATGCTTTCCCAGCAAATCTACTCCTTAATTTGATACGTAACTGTCATGGGAACAATAGYACAAGCCTACCTAAAATGAAATATTAAAAAAAAATCAAGGTATGCAGATATCAAATATGAGCAAAGTAAAGTGGGGAGCTTGAAATAGTAGCTAGTCTTTAATATGATGTTCTAGTTTTTCCTTCCTTTTTTGAAAAGTCACTGCTCACCGAAGAAAGAAATACAAATGAACGGATTAAACATGAACGTCAAGATAAGCACTTAAATTCCCCGTTTTTGGAGGCGGCGTATCAACATCATAGCAGTAGGGGTGGGTCATGACTCAGCTGCCATGCGTGTTGTCATGGTGACCAGCCCCTGCACCCCTTTCCCCCTCCTCTGGTTGGTTCAGCTTTTGTTGTGGTTCTACAACCATGGACCTCAGCTGACAGAGGCAGCACCCCCGTGCCCCACCCCATGTACCTGCTCCAACCAGGCGAGCCGTGTCATCTGTACGAGAAAGAGCTTGGATCAAATCCCAGACAGTATTTCGGAGAACACAAGATACCTCAACCTACAAGAGAACACGATTCAGGTAAATGTGCTTTCATCTACGAGAAACTGTATTTTGATTACATTTGTCTTCATTTTGTTAAAATATGTCTCCCTGTTTGTTTTCTTCACACAAGGTGATCAAGTCTGACACATTTAAGCATCTACGGCATTTGGAAATTCTCCAGCTCTCCAAGAACCACATCAGGCAGATTGAGGTGGGCGCTTTCAATGGTCTACCCAACCTCAACACATTGGAGCTKTTTGACAACCGTCTTACAGTGGTACCATCTCAAGCATTTGAGTACCTCAGCAAGCTACGGGAATTATGGCTACGAAACAACCCCATCGAGACACTGCCGGCATTCGCCTTTCACCGCGTTCCCTCTTTACGACGTCTTGATCTAGGGGAACTCAGGAAGTTGGATTTCATCTCAGAGGCTGCCTTTGAAGGTCTGGTAAACTTGCGCTTTTTGAATCTTGGCATGTGTGGTTTGAAGGACATCCCCAACCTTACCCCACTGGTAAGACTTGAGGAGTTGGAGCTGTCAGGTAACCAGCTTGGGATTGTCCGGCCYGGATCATTTCAGGGTCTAGTGTCACTTCGAAAGCTATGGCTAATGCACTCCCGAGTGTCAGTCATCGAACGCAATGCTTTTGATGACCTTAAGAATTTGGAGGAGCTCAATCTTTCCCACAATTCTCTGCATTCCCTGCCCCATGACCTCTTCACTCCACTGCACCAGTTAGAGAGGGTACATCTCAACCATAATCCATGGGTTTGCAACTGTGATGTCCTGTGGCTTAGCTGGTGGCTAAAAGAAACGGTTCCGAGCAACACAACATGTTGTGCTCGTTGTCATGCCCCACCTATTCTRAAGGGAAARTATATTGGAGAACTAGACCAGACCCACTTTACCTGCTATGCCCCAGTGATTGTGGAGCCACCTACTGACCTCAATGTTACCGAAGGCATGGCTGCTGAGCTGAAATGTCGCACTGGAACCTCAATGACCTCTGTGAACTGGTTTACCCCAAATGGCACTCTCATGACTCACGGATCATACCGAGTTAGGATCTCAGTGCTTCACGACGGCACAYTGAACTTCACGAATGTGACGGTGCAGGACACTGGTCAGTATACTTGCATGGTAACCAACTCTGCTGGGAACACMACTGCAACTGCCGTGCTCAATGTGTCTGCTTCTGATTCCAGTAATGGCTACAGCTATTTCACCACTGTCACTGTGGAAACTGAACAAACAGTCAGAGGAGAGGAGGAAAACTCAGCAAGGCAGTACATAAACGAAACCTTCATAGATTTCCCTAATCCTACTGTTCAAAGGGATTTAGATGAGCGACCTGGCATAACTGTATCCCCTTCACTCTCGTCTCTTTCCTCGCTGTCGCCAAAAGCCAACAAAGCTGAAAATACAGTGACTGTGTCCATAATGGATGTAACCAACATTCCAGGCCTGGATGATGTAATGAAAACAACAAAAATCATCATTGGTTGCTTTGTGGCCATCACGTTTATGGCAGCTGTAATGTTGGTAGTTTTCTACAAACTCCGCAAGCAGCACCAGCTACACAAGCACCACGGTCCCGCCAGAGCCATTGAGATTGTCAATGTAGAGGATGAAATAGGAGCTGGGGCTGGAAGTGGCATCTCAGGTGGTTCAACGGTAAACTCTGGCACTGGCGGAGAAGGCACCTTAAGGATGCATCACCCAGAAGTAGTCAACCTCCCCAACATTGGCCGCACGGATACACTCAACCACTACTACAAGACACACCATTTCAATAACAACGTGATGGGCCTTAATATCGGCACCGATGGGCTGGGACCTGGCGGGATGMTGGGCGGCAAGAACCAGCATGGCCAGGATATTCCCATCTCCTGTACCTCTGTCCCAATCTCTACGTCTAATTTGCTCAGCACTTCGGGTAATGGCACCAACATGAACCCCAGCTCAATGTCCCCTCCACTGCCGATGTCTCTCCCCATGCCTACATTGGGCTTACATGGATCAATCAAGGGTTTCATGGGGCAAAACCAGAACCCCCAAATGGAGCCATTGCTCTTCAAGGGGAGCTCAAAAGAAAACGTTCAAGAGACCCAAATATAAAGCAAAAGCGAGCGTGTAGAGGGAGAGTGAGCAAGAGTCAAAGACAAAGAGGGAATTGATGTTGGGTTTACGTGTGGAATGATAAGACACTAGAGTGCATTGACATTACACCAGGAGAGAGGAAAGACTGACACTGGCAATACACAAACACATAGACTTATCTGTGACGGTGTACTGAGCCAAGGATTACCACAATGGCCCACTTGTGTTTGTAGTAATGACCATGGCCATGGAGATCAAGGAGTGGATGTTGCTACAATGTAAATCTGTGCCAAAGCAAATGTTTTTTTGCAGTTTCTACAAGCTGTATTCTCATAGGAAAACGGAAAAAAAAAAAGACAAACTAGTCTATCAGAGTAAATCAAATTGTTGTTGGCCAGCAGAGTTGAAAGATACGCACAGCACTTACCACACTGAAGAGCCAAAATGTTGCAGAATATAATCCGAGGGACGTTTTTTTCTTTCACAAACAAAAAAAGAGAAACACTCTCTCTCAAGTGACTCAATAGACTCCCTCAAGGTGAAAATTATGTAGGCATATTAGATGGACAAAAAGGTACAGTGCAGTACAAACTACTGTGAAAAATCCACAAATAATATAAATATATTTTCATCTAAATATGTATCATTGACGACTCCGATGCAGACATATTTTGGGATGGATGTATAAGCTGGTATAGTTTGTTTCTTTGTGAATAATCAGGGGCGGTACTAGTGGAGGTTTGTTCTGATTTTAATTTGGCTACTTTTCAGAAACGTAAGGGCTCAATTGCAACACTCATTGTGAATCTTTCAATTGGCTTTGTGACATACGGTCCGTTTAGGTTGTAGAGCAGTAAATGCAGATTTCTGTTTGACAAACCTTTTGTCTATTGTTTCAATAATAATCATTGCAAACTTTTTTTGTGTTTTGAGAGTGTATTATTATGTATTTTGTAAAAGCCAGCCTCATGATACAGTATTAAAAATGGATAATTCTGACACTTTCATGCCAGCAGTGAACGATGGTGAAGCAGTGTTTTACAAACACACACAAAAAAAGTCACTCAATGCAAAGACCTGTGCGGGTCAAATAAAGTGTTGACAATGTGGTATTTGAATCCGATCAGTAGCCAGATATTTGCTTATAGGCAGAAATTTGATACAACCTCCTTGCTCATGGTTACCTTAGTCATGCCATAAAATGCTGTTGTAAGGATTATTAGACATCTCCAGCAGCATAAAGGAAGGGACTAAATATCCATCTTTGGATGATTGGGATGAGTGAAAATGTACAGTATATTAATAATAATAATGTCTGGTTGTACAACAATTGTAAGATCCACATTTTTACAGTGTAACTTTCATATGTTAAATGGCATTTACGCTTCTTGCGTTTCAACTATGTATTACTTTATTTTTGTTAGTTTGATATAATGTGTACAGTTGTCTAGCCATGTGTCATTACGTGTGAAATAAATCAATCATATATTGGGTTGTGGCGGGTCAATACGGCAACCACRAGTAAAATGTGAGACGTTATGTTGCTCTCTGCACTGAGCCTGCAYTGAATGTATGGTTTGTGGTTTAGCCATTAGTCATCCTGGTAATGATAGGGGGCCATCTGTTTGGTTGAAATAATCAGACGAGCTTTTAGTCACACTTCTATAGATGGCTTTCAGACTCAACTGGTATCTGTAAAATAAGTGTTTTTATGRATATGGTTTAGCCCTAAATGAGTCCCTTTGGTTGTCTAACGGTTATTATCTTACATCAGTGTTGAAATAGTTTGGAATGAACACATAATTGGACGCAGATAAAAAACAACAAAAAAAAAATAAAACACATCGATTGAGGAAACGTAAAATGTTTGTTGCAATTGAGCTCAAACGGAACATGTGACCACTTATTCCAGAGCTCAGAGAACAATTGTGTGTTTTTCTGTTTCACCCCTCTCTCAGTGTTTCTGACAAATAACTACAAATACAGTTTGATGGATTTTACATTGAGTGCATAAGAAGAAATAGTAATCATGATTTGTCTAATCTGAGAGAWACATTTCCTGCCACAGACGTTACAMAACAAACATTTTTACTAATTTAAAATGTTAAAGGAATTATTGATTAAGTCAGGTTTATAAACCACAGCCATTAGCTTTTTTGTCGGCCATCAGTTGAATTTCAAGAGAATATCTTTATATGATGTGACCCTTCAGGCAGATGCTATTGTCCCACTCATTTGGGGATTTTGACATAGTCATTTTTCCATTTTGGGGCTACATTCTCTTGTATCAACTGTGACATTATGTACATGTGCTGTAACATCACCATGAGTCATCTAATCAGCAGAAATTTTCCTTTTGCGCCCCTTAAACATCTKTTGCAGTTATCATCAAAATTAGTAACTTTTGAATGAAATGCAGAAAGGCTTATGGTAGTTGGCTTTGTACCTGATGCTAGAAATGTAGACATGCTAGGCTAMATTTGACCCTTTTTACTGATGAAGCTATGGATATGCAGCTGTATTGTACAGTTTGGCTACAGATAAAGTGACGACATTCGTGTCCCCTTGACATAATTCGTCACTTTCAATGGATGCTTCTGTTAAGGAAACAGTCATGTTTGGTAGAAGCCCCTAATGAAATGGATTATGGTTTCTGAAACATAAAAATTGGAAGAAAAAGAACTGAACTTTAGTTCCTGTAAAGGTAAGCTGTTTCATTAAATAACCTTTTTGAACGTCTTTAAAATATGAACAGTGGGGGACAAATCTTTTGTTTTGTGCAAAACATAAAAAATGGTCACATTCTTTGGTTCTCTTTTCCTTAAACTTCTATTTGTATCTTAGTATGTGATACTATTAGTTTGGGTCTTTATGAATTGTCATTAAATGTCCTTTCCCACCTGAAAATCATGCAGGTACACAGAGTGGTGGAGCAGTGTGTTTCTTCAGGTCTGTCAAAATCAAGATGTGTTGATCTCTCACCTCAGTGATGCTTGTACAGTGACTGACAGGGTAATTATTTTGCTGTTTGACCCAATTATCTGCCATCTCAAAGAAGTTATTCTGCAGTTTGAGGCATGTGTCGTGCCCACCGTTGTGACTTCATTCCACAGAAAAACACTAAAATAAGAAATTAGTTACTGAGGTCAAAATGACGTGGTGTAATTGTGTCTATTTTCCCCCACCCCTTTTGTTTTTATCATAGTTAAAACACATAACAAATCATTTGAATTTGATGTTTTTAATTATAAAAATCTACATTTTGACATCTATATTACAAATTAACAACCATGTGAAAAAGTACTAAATAAATCCAGGTTTGATCTTTTAATTTTATTAAATTCCTAGCATTTCTTGAAGGACTGCATTTTGCCCGCTACCAAAGAAAACACTCAGCTACTACTGCATCAAACTTTAGCTCAGTGTCTATAAATTTGACTAAGATATAGCCATTTTTGTGTTGGCTAAGACTGATTAGATGTGGTGGCCACCTCCAAAAGTTGAGTTTCATTAAAATCTCTCCTGTGAATCTTGAGATATTTTGCAAACAGACAATCAGGGTTAACAGTAATTGTTTTTTGCAATTGTTTTAGTTTTCAGCAATGCGGTCACACTAAGCACCTGAAGCATGTGTCGTAGTCTCAGCTACTACGCCAAATTTTAACCTATAATATATAAAACTTTCTGAATTTTAATCATTTAGGTGTTTTCTAAGATCAGTTGGCTGAGGTGGCCGTCTTGACTAGGACTGACTCCAAACATTCATTACTTGTAGATGTTTATTGACTATTTTCTGAACGTTTCAATAAGATTGGTTCTGTAGTTCATGATATATTTTGCTAAAAGATAATCAGCTGTAACTGTAAGAGTTGTATTCCATGGTTTTGAGCAATGCTGTCACGCAATGTGAAGCAACTGAAATATGTGTTGTGAATAAGTCTCAGCTACAATCATGCTAAATTTTAGCTTAATATATATAAAACTTACTGAGTTATAACCACATAGGTGTTTTCTAAGATCAATTTGCTGAGGCAGCCATCTTGACTTGGATTAACTCCAAACAGTTCGTTTGTAGATGTTCGTTTAATGATTAAATTCTGTTAATTTCAATAAAATCGGTTCTGTAGTTCCACCAAAGAAGATGAATTGATTAGTAAGATATTTATCGCCGGCCTTGGAAGACAACAGGTGAAAAAGCTTTTACCTGCGGATATGTAAGTGTTTTGTCTGTCTGTTAGCAAAATACAGCAGGTAAAATAAGTATTGAACACGTCACCATTTTTCTCAGTAAACATGTTACTAGAGGTGCTAATGWCATGAAATTTTCACCAGATGTCGGTAACAACCCAAGTGATCTATACATACAAAGAAATCAACCATAAATGTCCAGAAATGAAGTTATTTGTAATAATGTGGAATGGCACAGGGAAAAAGTATTGAACACACTTACTGAAATTTATCTAATACTTTGTACAAAAGCCTTTGTTGTCAATGACAGCTTCAAGACGCCTCCTGTATGGAGAAACTAGTGGCATGCATTGCTCAGGTGTGATTTTGGCTCATTCTTCCACACAAACAGTCTTCAAATCTTGAAGGTTTCGTGGACCTCTTCTATGAACTCTGATCTTTAGTTCTTTCCATAGATTTTCTGTTGGATTCAGGTCAGTTGATTGGCTGGGCCATTCCAGCAGCTTTAGTTTCTTTCTCTGAAACCAGCTGAGAGTTTCCTTGGCTTTGTGTTTGGGCTCATTGTCTTGCTGAAATGTCCAGCCACATTTCATCTTCATCATCCTGGTAGATGGAAGCAGATTTTTATCAAGAATGTCTCTGTACATTTTTCCACTCATCCTTCCTTCAATTATTTGAAGTTTGCCAGTACCATATGCTGAAAAACAGCCCCACACCATGATGTTCCCACCTCCAAACTTCACTGTTGGTATGGTGTTTTTGGGCTGATGTGCAGTGCCATTTGACCTCCAAACATGATGTGTATTCTGGCATCCAAACAGTTCAATGTTGGTCTCATCTGACCAGACTATATTCTCCCAGTATTACACAGGCTTGTYTAAATGTTGTGCAGCAAACTTTAAAGGAGCTTCAACATGCTGTTTCTTCAGCAGTGGAGTCTTGCGTGGTGAGCGTGCATACAGGCCATGGTGGTTCAGTGCATTACTTATTGTTTTCTTTGAAACAAACGTACCTGCTAATTCCAGGTCTTTCTGAAGCTCCCCACAAGTGGTCCTTGGCTCTTGGACAACTCTTCTGATAATTCTTTTCACTCCTCTGTCAGAAATCTTGTGAGGAGCACCTGGTCGTGGTCGGTTTATGGTGAAATAATGTTCTTTCCACTTCTGAATTATGGCCCCAACAGTGCTCACTGGAACCTTCAGAAGTTTAGACATTCTTCTGTAACCGATGCCATCATTATGCTTTGCAACAATAAGGTTGTGAAGGTCTTGAGAGAGCTCTTTACTTTTACCCATCATCAGATGGTTCTTGTGTGATACCTGGCCATCATTTGGAACTGAACCAGCTGATATTAACTTGCACTGGCAAGGGGCAGGCTTGCTTTCTTATTACTGAGAGAGTTCAGCTGGTGTCTTGGCTTTCCATGCCTTTTTCACACCTCCCTTTCTTCATGTGTTCAATACTTTTCCCTGTGCCCTTCCACATTATTACAAATAACTTCATTTCTGGACATTTATGGTTTGATTTCTTTGTATGTATGGATCACTTGGGTTGTTACCAACATCTGGTGAAAATTTCATGTCATTAGCACCTCTAGTAATATATTTACTGTGAAAAATGGTGACGTGTTCAATACTTATTTTACCCGCTGTATTTTGCTAACAGACAAACACACATCCGCAGGTAAAAGCTTTTCCACCTGTTGCCTTCCAAGGCTGGCGATAAATATCTTACTAATCAATTCATCTTCTTTGGTGGAAATTAAGAAGACAAAAAAGCTCACTGAAAAAAGTAAAGTCACATTAGCTTAACTATTTAAAAAACATTAATACATCCTGTAATCACTACAACATGATGGCCATATTAATAAATCAAATGGTCCATCATGTTACATTAGCAGTATTGCACAGTAACCTGCTCTGCCACTGCTTTACTAGGAGAATATGTTAGGACAAAGCAAACATGACACATACAGTAGGTAAGTTTAAAGTAAAATCCCTCCTTTTAACGATACGCTGAAATCTGTATCAACAAATGCGCAGACCAAGGCTCCGCCCATGTGTCTCATCACTTCTTGTCCAGTACAAAAAGCAACAAAAAAAGTTGACCAAATGAATCTTGAATCCTTTGCTTCAAACTGTGCTCTTCGTTTCATCAGCGTGCTCCATATTTTAAAATCATCTTAAACCCCTGCGGTGAGGTAAATCTGTACATATTATCACAAATGTCCACAGCACGGACAACATTACAAAACAACTTCAAGGGGTTTGTGTCAGAAGAATTGCATCAGCAGTGAACCCTAACCATGAATTTAATATGTTTAGATAAAACGTTCGGGCCCTACAGCTGGTAGAATRCTTTTGAAATATCTGAGAGGGCAACGGAGGAAAGTCCTCTTTTTATTTTTGAACGTAATTGTCCTTGGCTTGTACTCTTGTCTCCAGAGACCTCAGTACCCAGGAGACGTCTTGGACATGATGTTAGAGGCTTGTACCGTATAGTAGAGACAACCTCAATAGACTGTGCGTATACCCTGTATCAAGACACAAAAATCACACTAAATGTGATGTGCTCAGGAGATTTTTTGAAGCACATTTTGTGTTTTTTTCTCGTGTCTTATTGAACAAACATTAGTGCAGAGTAGACTTTACTAAAGGTCTAACATTCCTCAAAGAAACACAAATCACCTGTTACCCTTTAGTTTTATACAAAGGTCATATTCTGGTCATCTTGGATGATCCTGAATTACATGTTGTGGATGACTGTCAGCTACTACCACACTACGTTTCAGCTCAATATCTCTTAAACCTGAGGTATAGTCATTTTTCTCTAGACTWATATTGCTTAGCTGTAGCAGCCTTCTTGAACTAGGCTGACTCCAAAAGTTATTCACTTGTAGCTGTTAAACCAATTATTATTTTCTGAGGGTTGAATTGAATTGTCCAGTGGTTTATGAGATATTTTGCTAACAGACAAAAAAGGCTGATTTCTAAAAGTTTTTGAAGCCCACATGTGGCAGAATGTGTTGCATTCGGAATATGTAGTAGGGATAATACACAGTCAATACTATGACAAATTGTAGCTCATAATATGTAAAATTGGACAAATATAGCCGATTTTTTTAAAGATCAGTTTGCTTTAGCAGCCATCTTGTATTGGACTGAMTCTAAAAGTTAGTCAGTTTTGGATGTACTTCTAATGAATACTTTCTGAAAGTTTCTTTAAAATTTGCTCAGCAAGTCGTGACGTAATTTGCCAGCAGACTGAGTTGAATTGAAAAGGTAATGTTTAAACACAGATCTCATATGATCAGTTAGTGTTTAGAATATAAACAGGCCACAACTCTCAGCTACAAACATAAACTGACTAATTTAAAGTTATTTTTGTGCTGAGTAATGTTGCTCTGCTGTGGTGGCCATCTTGAAACAAGTCGAATTCAAAAGTTATTCAGGTAAAGATGTATCTCCAATATTCCTTTCTGAAAGTTTTTTTTGATTCACCAGATATTTTGCTAACGGTACAGACAAACACACACGCACGTGAACACACAGATAAAAACATTATTGCCCTTTTGCCTCCGGCGGTGTGCAATAAATATTTCACATCTTGCTGTTTGAAAAGGGTCACACTCGTACGAACAGTGTGCATGCAGAAGAAATGAATACATTATTATGCAGTAAAGATGAAAGTGAAATGCCTAAATGAATAATCCAGCTCTTTTAAAGCTGGGTTCTGC